CATAATCTAGAAGCAACCTAGATGGCCCACAACTGAAGAGTGGATAAAGAAAATGTGGCACATTTACACATTAGAGTACTATTCAGCAGTAAAAAATAACGACATCTTGAATTTTGCATACAAATGGTTGGAATTAGAAAACACTATCCTGAGTGAGTTACCCCATTTTTTAAAAATTACATTTGTAAGCACTCAGGAGGCAGAAGTGGGACCCCTGTGAGCTCCAGATCAGCTTGATCGACAGAGCGAGTTCCAGGACAGCCAGGTTTCTCAGAGAAACCCTGTCTCGAAAAACAAAAACAAAACAAAATGAAAATTATATTTTGTGTGTGTGTGTGTGTACATGTGTGCGTATGACATGGGGCCAGGGGTATGTGGAAGTAGAGGACAACCTGAAAGAGTCTTTTCATGTACCATACTGGTCATAGGGATTGAACATAGGTTGCCAAGGCTTGGCCACAGGTATCTTTAGTCACTGAGTCGTTTTGCTGGCTCCCACATGGCATCTTACCTGTTTGGTTGGCTATTTTCCTTATGAATGCAAGTCTCTAGAGTACAGGACTCATACACACAATAATCTAGGACTAATTTGTATGTGTGTAATCCATGTACAAATGCCCATGGCACGCGTGTGGAGGTGAAGACGACTTGTGGAAATTGCTTTTCTTCTTTTACTCTGTGGGCTCCAGAGACGGAACTCAGGTCATTAGGCTTGGTGTCAAACACCTGTACCTACAGGGCAATCTTGCTGGTCCCTTAGTATACTTAATAAATTATTCACACGTAATTCGATGAGATGGTAACTAATAATATGGTTACAGATGACAACCGTGTTGATACCTGATATAAAATGTGTCACTATCCCATAGATAAGGTGAGAAGTGTTGTCCATAAAACCCCCAATCTAGAGCATAAACCTGACTTTGTCTCTTTTTGTGTGTTTTTCTAGATTTCGAAGAAACATGAAAAATTCCAGAAACATCAACTTACAGGTCAAAATGATTCTCTCCCTTACTGATCAGCTCAAGGCTGGTGACTGATCAACCGTGGGCCATGCTTTCAAACTCTAGTCTTGAACAGCGGGTGGAAGAAAGTGGAAAAAGAGGGTGTTCCTGGAGAGTACCCCCATCTTTCTGACATCTTCACTTCCAAAGTCATGCAGACAGCTCCATAATTCCTACATTGTTTGCTTTCCTCGTGCTTCTCTGTCCCATACATTTTCATGGCATGGGCAAAAATTAACTACCAAGAGTTTGGTGAGGGAGGTCCATCTCCTTATTTCGCTACCACGGATGTGGATGTGGGGTAGACATCTTTAAAGGAAAAGATGTATTGGGAACCTCTGTGTCCCTCACTACTGCATTCCGGGGTCACTTCTAGTACATGATGAAGACAGTATAGTTTGCTTGCAAAACAAAACTTGATAGCTGGGCCGTACCACTCATCACGATGTGACTTCATCTTTGCTCCCCTAATTGTTAGATGATGTCAGTAGTCACTATGCTCACGGTCTCTTTACTCCTATTACAGTTTCACAGCTGAAAAAAGCTGGAATGATGAATATCATTGAAGCTGATCTAACATGGTAAGCAGAGTCTGTCTTCAGACTGTCCTATGACAAATACCATGATGGCTGGTTTCATGTCAACATGATCCAAACTGGCATCATTTTGGAAGAGATTGCCCTCTCTAGATTGCCCTGTGGACAAGCCTGTGCTGCTTTTTTAAATTTTTTTTTTATTTTTGGTTTTTCGAGACAGGGCTTCTCTGTGTAGCCCTGGCTATCCTAGAACTCACGCTGTAGACCAGACAGGCCTTGAACTCAGAGATCTACCTGCCTCTGCCTCCAAAGTGCTGGGATTACAGGTGTGTGCCACCACTGCCCAGCTACATTTTCTTAATTGATGATTGATATAGGAAGGTCCAGCTCACTGTGGGTGATGCCACCCATGGACTGGTGGTCTCAGGTAGCACAAGAAGGCAGGGTGAGCAAGCCATGAAAGCAATCCAGTAAGCAGGGTTCCTCCACGGCCTTTGCATCAGCTGCTGCCTCCTGGGTCCATCTTGCCCTGAGGTCCTACCATGACTTCTGTCAGCAATGGAGTGTAACCTGAGAACTGTAAGCTGAAACAAACCCTGTCCCCCTAAGTTTGTGGTCATCGTGTTTCAGTACAACAATGGAAATCCTAGCTGCAACACCATCTTAACCGTAGATGCTGTATGTAAAATCCTGGGACTTTTACTTCATTTACTATGACAGCAATTGCCTCCTTCCTAAATTAACTTCCTATTCTTATTGGCTGGCTTACTGGTACTTTAATATCACTTCAATTCTACTGACATCCCCTTTTGTGTTCAGTATTTCAGGAGACTCTACTGGCTGGAGCCAGGAATATATATCCAGATCCATAGACAGGAGTTTTCAAAAGATCTTCCATCATTTGGAAAATGCAAGGTCAGGAAACAGAGTTTCTGGGTAGGGGAGAGAGAGAGGGAGTAAAAGGAGGGAGGTAAAAGAAAAGTGAGTTTGAGCAATGGAGAATAATTTTTTAAGCTTTATTTATTCCATGTTTTATATGGGTATTTTACTTGCATGTGTGTTTGTGCACCACATTCATGACTGATGCCCACAAAGGCCAGAAGAGGGCATTGGATCCCCTGGCACTGGAGTTACAAATGTTTGTAGACTACCATGTGGGTGTTGGTAAGCAAACTTGGGTCCTCTGGAAGAGCAGACACTACTCTTAACTGCTGAGCCATATCTCTAGGCCCCAAAGTGTGTGTGTGTGAGTGTGTGTGTGTGTGTACACATCACATTTATTTAGGTATTTATTTATTTATTTATTATTTTTGTGCATGTGTGCACATGTGTACCACATCATGTACATGGTGGTCAGAGGAGAAGCCACAGGAGTCAGTTCTTTCCTTCTAAGATGTGGGTCTTAGGGATCGAACACAGGTCTTCTTTCTTAATGGCAAGCACAGGTTGTGCGTGTGTGCATGTGTGTGTGTGCATGTATGTGTTTGCAAAACTTGGGTGTCATTTCTGGGGAGCCATGCAGCTGGATTTTTGAGATAATTAGCCTTGGCTGTCCAGTGAGCCCCAGGGTATCCACTTTTCTCTGCTTCCCCAGCACTGGGGCACTGTGTCCCTTTCTTTTCATGTGGGTCCTGGGGATGGAACTCAGCTTCTCTCTTTGTACAGCATGTCCTTTCCTCACTGACTCACACATCTTGCTCTTGGTGGAGGGATTCTTTACATAAATAACTGATGTTTGTGAATGCAACCCGTCCTTTCATCTCTCCCTTAGACCAAAAATGTTTTGAACTTGAAACAACCACTCTCTCTCTTCTTACTAATTTTATGCCTACTGATCCCAAAGAAAATGAAAACATTTCTTTTTGTCAGGTCAACACTTACGAAAACCTTAAAAGAGCCCCAAGATTGGTCTTCCTCCGGCTCTGACATTGTGGGTACGACGGGAAACCGTTCTTCTGACTCCAGCATGTCTTCTGTATCATATAGTGACAGCTCGAACCCATCCCTTCCAGTCTTTCCTGGAAGAGCAACGCGGCAATTCCGGAGCCATAGCTTCCCTGCTCTCTCCCGAAAGGAACCGCCTGCTCCCAGGAGCCGGGGCTCATCCCTGCCTACTTTACAGAAGACAGATCTTAAGAAATCTCTTTTAAATGAGAGCCTAGACTCCCTAGTATGGGCTCCACTCCAGCTCTCTCCTTTAGTCAGAGGAGAACTGGAAAGACACATATCACATAAGGTTTCGACTTTGCGGGCACAAGTGGTGCATCTGCCTGTGAAAAAATCCTGGGAAATACGTAACGAATTGATGAATGTACAAGGAGTCCCTGAACAAGGGCTCCCCAAAACTCAGTTACCTACACTCCTCCCTCAGAGGGCTGAGCAAAATACCAACAGTTCTCCAGATGCTCCATCGTTTCATGTCCATGTAAACATTGGGGTGAATTCTGAATTAAGCAGGACGGAAGTGTCACAGACGCTGACCTCAAACAAGCAGTTACAGTCTGCGAATGACCACCAGGTTCTTAGCTACAACCCTGTAGTTATATCAATGGGCACTCCAGCTCCCATTAACATAGTTCGGGAAGAAAACGCTTTAATAAAAAAGGATCCAAGGCATGTGTTAGAGCTGAATAGAGATCAGAGGGTCCTCGGTCTTCCAGAACAAAGGATACAGCCACAAAGGGCACAAGTAACTGACGTGGAACTGACAGCCCAGGTACCACGCTCAGCCACGGACAGCGTAAAGGTCACTCCAGTGGCACTGCTTCAGGTTATGGGCTTGATGGGAATGATCCCAGAATCACATGCGCAGGTGATAGACTGCGTGGGGTTTCCCCCGCAGCCACCAAATCAAGCAGAAACAGTGAATCTAACTCCTCAGCCATCAGATCAAGTAATTAAACCAAAAACAGTAAAAATTCAACAGTATTCAGCTACGGAATCAAAGAGTATGGCCTCAAGACAGAGTCCAGTCACAGATAATATGAAGGTAACTCCTGCGGAATTGCTTCGCATCATGGATTCTATGGGGATGATTAATGAATTATACCCACATGTCATAAAACCAGCAGAAATAGCCCCAAAGCCACAATACCAAGTCATGGAATCTGCAAAGGTGGATATACTGCATGGCCACCAAGAAATACCACCAGAAGATAAGAGTCTAGGGCTACAGCAATCAGTTCTGGGAACTGTGGAAGTGATTCCCCAGCCTCAGCATAAAGTCATGGGAACACCGAACATGACCTTGGGCCCACAGAATCAAGCCACAGAACACATTGGGATTGCTCCCGGTCCAATACATGAAAATATATTGGAAATTAGCTCAAGTGCACTTCCTAAAGCCATTGATTATACAAAAGCAACCCCAGTGGCACAACAAACCATGGATTTCATGCAGAAAATTCCACCAGGAGAGCCACACATTACAGAACCTAGGGCTTTGACCCAAACTGAAAATTTGACCACACTGCCAGCCCAGCCAGACGTTCTGACTTCTACTGTCCCAAGAGGAGCAGCAGAATCTCGAGGCATACCTCCACAGCTACCGTCTACAGTCCTAGCGTCATCAGGAGTGATTCTGCTACCATCAGGTCAATCCCTGCATGCTCTAAAGGTGACCCCGATAGTACAGGCGCCACCTGGGGTGGGAATGATCCCACCACTCCAAGTTGTAGAGCCTCCTGGTTTGATTCCACAGCCAGTGGCTCAAGTCAAAGAACCTCTGGACTTGCCTTCTGGGTTCCAGGTTCAAGCTGGAGACTCTGTGGGGATGACTCCACAACATCAAGGCGCAGAGGGTGTGTCATCGACTCCAGGACTGTCTCAGCAGGTCATGGACCCTTCAAAGTTTACCCCACGGCACCAAGACTTAGACTATTCTGAAGTGAGCCCAAGGCAAAGTCACAAAATCCCAGAAAGGGGTGGGACCTCTGACACCCAGCCCCAAATGAAGAATTCTGTAGAGATGACAGAGGTACATAATCAAATAGTGGAACCTGTGAGAACAATCACAGCACCACTAGATCAAGGTACAATACCCATAGGAAGGAGCCAAAAACATCACGTTACAGAAGTGGTGCCAGTTACACCACTACTTAAGGAAATGAAACATTTGGGGGAAAACTCAATCCCACAGCCTAAGGTTATGGATTCAACGAATTTATCCCCAGAATTACAGAACGTAAAATCTGAGCACCTAATCCCAGATCCAAGATTGCGAAATATGAAATCTGTGGACATAGCCATGGCTTTAGTCCCAGAAAAAGTAAAATATGGACCACCGACCTCAAGAGCGGTATCTACAGATTTGACCCTAGAATTGCATCAGCTGATTATGCAGTTTGAGAAATTAACCCACAGGCCACAATTGCAAAGTGAGGAATCTGTGCCATCAGCCCCTGAATCTCAACTTCAAGATGTGAAATCTGGCCAAGTGATAGTTGAAGCACAACTCCAAAACATACAGTCTGCTGGGCTGGCCCCAGGTCCACAGGTGCAAAGTGATAAATCAGTACATTTGACCCCTGGTTCACAGACTCAAGGCATGCAAAGGGTTGTTCATTCAGCCCTATCGCAGGAGTTACAAGGAGATACAAAAATGGTGGAGTTGGCTCCAAGACCATCACTTGAAGATAAGAAATCTGTGAACTTAACCCGAAAACCATATTCACAAAGCACCAGCTTTGAGAAGACAGCCCATGTACCATTGCTCGAAGATAGAAAGACTCTGTTGGTAGAAGGTAGGAGTTTAATTCCCGAGGCACTGGTGGAAAGTGTGAATCTTAGTGAATTGGTCCCAAGCACACACCTTTGTGCGGTAAAATCCTTAGAAGTGAACCCCGACCCAAGTTATCATTTCCTGGAACCTGCAGAATTGGCCCTACGGCATCAAGCCCCAGAAGAAAGAGTGGGCTCTGACATTTGTCATCAGGTGGAAGAATCTGTTGAGCTGACACAATCATCATTAGGAATGAGGCTGACGCCACTGCGCCAAACCTCAGACTCTATGGAGATGTACTCACCACCACTCCAAGAAACTCTTGAAACTAGGAACCAGGTTGTAAAAGAGATGGAAGAGACTCCAGAATCACAAAACGCAATTAAAGATGCTCTGGATTTGCTACCAGAATCAGAAGTGCAGAATATGAACTCAGTGGTGATGGCCCCAGAACCACATCCCTACTCAGATGGGAAGTTTCTACATGGGACTCTAGAATCGTGTTCAGAAATAACTCTAAGACCAGAATACAAAGACAGAGAGACTATCAGATTAACATTACCTAAAGTTGATGATACTCAGGGGGCCATGATAGAACCATATTCAGAAATGGAATCTCTGGAGTTGGGTCTAGAACCAGGAGTGCAAGGTGAGAAATCGGAGTCCTTGGCTCAACATTTGCAATCTGGGGAAGTAATTGGTAAACCACCTGTACTAGCTGTAGAGACTATCACACTAACTACAGGACCCAAACCACACATTAAACATGTGATCCCAGGGCCCCAGCTCAAAGTCAAACTTAGGCAAATGGATACAGAATCACAGTTGCAAAATGAAGACTCTATAAATGTAACACGACAGTCGTCTCTAGGAGAGGTAGGTCCTGAAAAGACAAAGCCAGAGTCAGGGCCACAAAGTCCATCCCCGAAGGAACTGATTGAGGAGACACAGCCCCCGAAAGTGAAATCTGTGCATTTCAATCTAGGACCACAGCAGCTAAGTATCAAATCTGGGTTGATTCCAGGGCCACAACTGCAAAGTGTCAGATTTCCAAAGTTCTACCAAGGGGGAAAACGAGGAAATGTCATCTCAGGCCCCCCACGTTATGGTGTGAAATCTGATGAGGCACGATCACGTTCCCCAGTACCAGAAATCAGATCATCAGATTGTATCCCGGGGCCAAATCTTCCAGAAGCAAAACTGCAATATGTGAAGCCTGTGGAAGTAAATGTAGGACCATGCTCGCAAGCTGTGAAATTCTCTGATCTGACCCCTGAGCCCAAGCACCAAGGTTTCAGATGTACACAGGTCATACCAGGTATTCACTTTCAAGATAGGAAGTCTCAGGGACTTTTGCCAGAACCCTTTTTGCCATTAAGCCAAGAGCCACAGGTTGAAGATAGGAAACTTGTTCTACCTATGGAAGTATCAGAGTTTCATAGCAGGAAACACACAATACCAGCCTCTGAACTACAATATCCAAGCGTGATATCTGAGGAGGTAAACCCGGAACTGCGGCAACAAGATACCAAAGTGTCTGAGTTCGCTTCTAGGCTAAGACCTCAAGGGGTAAAATTTGGGGAGCAAACTGCAGGACCGTTGTTTCACGGTATGCATTTTATGACTCCAGAGTTGGGGATACATAATCCAAAGCTAGCGAAGATGACCCCAGAGCTCAACGATACAAAGCAGCTGAGTTTTAACTCGTGGCCGTGCCTGCAAAATGTCAATTTTTTTGATGGAACATCAGGAACTCAATCTCAAGGTGTGACGACTTCAGAGTTACACTCGGGGCCACAGTTGGAGTGTGTAAAAATGTTTGAGTTTACCACACAGCCAAAGAGGCAAGGGATGAAGCCAGAGTTAATAATACAGGAGACGCTGTTTGAAGACAGGGCATATGTCACAAGGAATCAAGCACCAAGCTTTGAAGATGAGATGTCTTATAAACTACCTTCTGGGCCACAGATACCAATGGCAGAATCAGTGAGGTTGACTCCTGGGATACAGCTAGCAAGTGTAGACCATTCTGAGTTGGTTGGAAGACCAGAGGCACAAGGTATAGAATCTTCTGAATCGATCCCTGGGCAGCATTTGGGACATATAAAATGTGTGGAGAAGGTCACAGCATCAAAGCAGGAAGAGTTAACACCAGGGCCACATTTGGGAGATGTGAAATCTATGGAGTTAAGGTCAAAGTCAGAGAGGGAAAATGTCAAAGCTATACTGTTAACCCCAGGGAAACAAGCAGGAGATAAAGAACCTGAGGAGCTGCCCCTGGGCCCCAACTTGAAAGGTTTAAAATCTGAGTTACTACCTTCAAGACCACAGTTAGAGGATAGGAGATCTGCGGTCTTAACTCTAGGACAATGTCCAGAGAGGATAAAATCTACAGTGGTCTCCCCATGTAGCTCCCAGTCAGATGGTACAAAAACTGTGAAGTTGATTCCAGGTTCAACAATTCAAGATTTGAAGACTGTGGGGCTGGCCCGTGATACACATGTGCAAGATCTAAATGCCATGGGTTTGAAACTTGAACCAAAGCAAGAAGAGAGTCCTGTGACTTTTGTACCAGGGAAAGAGTTTCAAGATGAGTTTATGGAGGTGTTGCAAGTGCCTCAACTACAAGGTCTAAAACCCAAGGAACTGACTGCACAGTCACAAATGCGGGGTAGGAAACATGTGATTATCTCATGTTTGAAGCCACAAAGTCTAAAACCTGTGAATATAGCCAAAACACAAGGAATCCCAGGAGTAAAACTTGTGAATTTAGTCTCAACACAACCGTGTCGAGGGATGGCGCCTACGGATTTAACTCTCAAGCCTGGACAGGATGACCAGATAACTGTAAGATCACCCGAGTGGAAAGGTGGGGTTTTAGACCAGCTGAGCAAGCATTTTGAGTCAGAAAATGTGTTATCCATGAAGTCAGGTCAAGAAGCCAAACCTGCAGATAAAAAACCCAAAGAGATCAAATTTAAAGTACAATTTAAAGATACACCATCATTTGAATCGACTCCTAAACCAGTTGTTCACAGTGTAAAACCTGAAGAGGCCCAAGATGAAGCCCAGGTGCCAAGTATGAAACCATGCCAGGTGACTCCAGGGCCACAGGAGCACCAGGTGAAAGTCTCAGAGCCAATGTTAGAGCCACCATTTCAAGATGTGAAAACCATGGTGCTCACAGAGCCACACACTGGAAGTACAAAATCCGTCCGATGGATACCAATATCTGAGTTTCAAAGTGAGAAATGGGTAGGGTCAGACTTGAGGTTGCAATCTCAAAGTGCCAAACCTACAGAATTGAAGCCGTCTACAGAATGGAGGGGTGTGAGGCCCTCTGAATTGACTGTCAGGTCTAAAATAGTTCAAGAAGAAAAATCTGTAGGGTTGCATCTTGAGCCACAGTCACAGCAAGTAAAAACCTCTCCGTTAGCACTAGGGCTTCAGAAAACAAAAACTTTGAACTTAACATCAGAGCCACAACCTCAAGGAATCAAAACTGTGGATCAAAACAAAGATCCACCAGTTGGAAGGGTAAGATCCATTGAGTGGATACCAGGACCTGAGTTCCACAGCATGAAGTGTTTAGGGTTAAATTATGGGTCACAATCTCAAGGTGTCAAATCTACAGAACAGAAAATGTCTATACAGTTGGGAGGTGTGAAGCCATCAGAGACGACTGTAAGGCCAAAACTTCAAGAAGAAAAATCTGTGGGTTTTAACCTTGAATCACAAGTAAACTATACGAAGACACCTGAGTTGTCCCCAGAACCAGAGATACAGAAAGGAGAAAACGTCACATCCAATTCAGAACCACAGCCTCAGGGGATCAAAACTGTGGATCAAAACCAAGATCCATCAGTTGTAAGTGTTAGATCCGTTCAGTGGATACCAGGACCTGAGTTCCACAGCGTGAAGTGTTTAGGGTTAAATCGTGGGTCACAATCTCAAGGTGTCAAATCTACAGAACAGAAACCATCCATACAGCTGGGAGGTGTGAAGCGACCTGAAACAACTGTAAGGCCAAAACTTCAAGGGAATAAATCTGCAGATTTTAACCTTGAGCCAAAAGTACAGCACATAAAAACCCCTGGGGCATCCCCAAAACCAGAGTTACAAGAAGGGGAAAACTCAGAGCCACAGTCTGAGTGTGTAAAAAGTGTGGCCTTACACGATGGATCAGAGCCACAGTCTGATTATGTAAAAAGTGTGGCATTACATCACAGATCAGAGCCACAGGCTGAGTGTGTAAAAAGTGTGGCATTTCACAACGGATCAGAGCCACAGGCTGAGTGTGTAAAAAGTGTGGCATTACACCACGGATCAGAGCCACAGGCTGAGTGTGTAAAAAGTGTGGCATTTCACGACGGATCAGAGCCAAAGGTTAAGTGTGTAAAAAGTGTGGCATTACACCACAGATCAGAGCCACAGGCTGAGAGTGTAAAAAGTGTGGCATTACACCACAGATCAGAGCCACAGGCTGAGCGTGTAAAAAGTGTGGCATTACACCACAGATCAGAGCCAAAGGCTAAGTGTGTAAAAAGTGTGGCATTACACCATGGATTACAGCTTGAAAATACAAAATCTGTTCAGTGGATCCCAGCATCTGGCTATCAAGCTAAGAAATCTATGCTGAATCTTAGGTTACAATCTGAAGATGTCACAGCTAAAGAGTTAAACCCTTTGGCACAACTAAAGAATGTGAAGACTTCTAATGAGTTGATTACAGGGCTGAAGTTACAAAGTAAACAACCTACAGGGTCAACGCCGGAACAACAGTCTCGTGGGTTCAAAACTATTGATTTTAAATCGGAGCGCCAGTTTAGAAGTATGAAAGGATGTGACCCAAACGTAAGGTCAAAGATTAACAATATAAAATTCACATTTGAACCCAGGTTTCCCTTAGAAGTCACAGGCTCTCCTGGATTGAACCCTGGAATGCAGCCACAAGAAGTGACCTTAGGGTCACCCCCAGGAACACAACCTCAATCTGTGACATCTTTAGTGTTTAAACAAGAGTCACAGGCCTCAGAAGCGAACTATGGGGTATTAAGCCAAAGGGCACAACCACAAAGCAGTATGGAGTTAAAAAGTGCAAAATCTTCTGAGTTAGCACTTCAGACAAAGCCTTGGGATATAAAATCTGAGATCAACTCTGGGCCCCAGTGGCAAAGTGCAGAATGTTCTGACTTGACACCTGAAACAGAGTCCCAAAATATGAAATGTATCACGTCAAGTCAAGGTAAGCCATTTGCCAATCAAAGTGTCCAGCTAGACTGTAAACATGGGTCACAGTGGCAAGGTATAAAATCCAATCCAGGTCTGAGGACAAAGTCCCAAGAAATGGAAATGGAAGACTGTGAATCAGGCCCACAGTTACAAGATCTGAAATCTTCAAGGACAATCATGGGTATAAAGGTCCAAGATGTCATATCTATGGGCTTTACTCCTGGACCACAATTACAAGGTATGCCATCTGAAGTCCTTACAGAGAAGAGGGTTCATGGTGTGAAACTGGTAGAAAGCAAACCTAGTTCAAAGTTACAAGGTAAGAAACCTGATTTCACCCCAAGGAAGATGTTTTTAGGCACAAAATCAGTAGAGCTGGACTCAGTGTCCCCTTTACAAGATTTGAAATATGCTGAG